GGATAAAAATTGACACATTTGCATAAATTACCAGTTTTACTAAAAAAAAAATGGATTTGAGTGACACGTATAATGCTGCCAATACTCAAACCGGTAAGGTTTAGACTTTCGGTTATATTTTATGACAATTGTGGACAGAAACAGTTGAAAATATGGCGTGGAATCCAGATACCAGTGTCTGTGTTTTGCCAACTTTTTGTTATTTTATTCCATACAATAGGGACAGTTGATTTGAGTCTTGAATATATGTAAATAGTCTTCAGAAGTACTAAAAAATGTACGAAAATCACACAATTCCTTTAAAAATATCTCAAACTAGGAATTTCTTTTCCTATTTCTATAGATGTCTTTTCTATGTCAACTGAATCAACCGCCCCAAAATGTCGAACCTCTCCCTTTCATGCAATATACATTATATAGTATTTTGTGGCTGTATTTTCAGTGAGTGACAAAGCTGAATTGATAACAGATGCAGATGCTGGTAAAAGTCAAGCTGAGCAGCTGCCACTTCAAGCTGCTAAACTCCAATTAGGCAGAAAGTAAGTAGGCCTCACTTTGCTCATACTCCTAAACCCCATTTCCAAAAGTAGCTGTCCTGAGGGGGATTGTGTATCGGAAACACTTGTTGGTGACAAATGTTTCAATCTGTTTGTGATATCCCACTTTGGCTTTGAACTTTTCAGCCGAGTAAATAGTGCCTGTGGGTTCAATTCTCGATTCCGTCTGATAGTCCGATGACCTTGAATAAGTCATCTTCATTCATTATTCCAGTTAACCCAGCTGTAAATGGGTACAGATAATCTGGGAAAGATCAATACCAAGAGGTTTGGTCAAGGACCAGCTGGTAGAAAGGATCCTCATTATTCCAGTCAACCCAGCTGTAAATGGGTACAGATAATCTGGGAAAGATCAATACCAAGAGGTTTGGTCAAGGACCAGCTGGTAGAAAGGGTCCTCATTATTCCAGTCAACCCAGCTGTAAATGGGTACAGATAATCTGGGAAAGATCAATACCAAGAGGTTTGGTCAAGGACCAGCTGGTAGAAAAGACCCTCATTATTCCAGTCAACCCAGCTGTAAATGGGTACAGATAATCTAGGAAAGATCAATGCCAAGAGGTTTGGTCAAGGACCAGCTGGTAGAAAGGATCCTCATTATTCCAGTCAACCCAGCTGTAAATGGGTACAGATAATCTTGGAAAGATCAATACCAAGAGGTTTAGTCAAGGACCAGCTGGTAGAAAGGATCCTTGTGAACCTAAGTTATTATCCTTGTAAAATGTAGTTTTTTAAATCTCTTTTCTGAGAAGTGACACAGATGGCTTATCAATATTTTTTTCAGGCCCATTGATCATTCTCTGAGTTTTCGTATCATTGTGGTATCAGGGTTGGTGTTTGCTGTTGCCATTACTGTAGCTTTGATATTGTCCATCTACTTAGGACCTCCGCAGGTACGTGTCATTTTATAAGCCCACTTAAAAATGAGGTCCTCCATGCAGATAAGAGGGGCTGACATTGCAAAAGCATCTAGTTGTTTGGATGGGACAATAAACTAGGGTCTGTATGCTAGTTAGATAAAGATCCCTTGACAGTCGGAAATCAAAAAGAGTAGGCTAATGCCCCTGTCCTATCCTGTTCACCCTGGCTCCCCCCTCTCAGGGATGCATGTCGAAGGGGCTAACTCAGGAAAAGCATGTAGACTTGGACCTTTATGCTGTACATTCAAAAGTTGGAATTCCAACTAAAAATGCTAACACCACTGTCTCATAAAAATTTACCTCATTGTTCACTTCATGGTGGATCATTGTTAGTTCAATCAAGAGAATGGGGATATAAAACCCTAATTCATTTCCGAATTCCAAAAATGGTTTTTTTGCCTTTCGATGTTGAATACAATAAACTAAGGCTCAATCAGTGACACAGGAAAATTTTCAAATCAGTTGTCCTGATGAGGGTTTGATACCTCAAACAATGTTGACATGTTCCCTAAAGCCATATCGAAACCCCTCATGGATTTATCAAAGGGGCATGAGCCTGAAAATATATCAGCCTTTGATACATCACTTGCCATTCTGTTACAGATTGGAGATACAGGGGCAGTAGCCACTGACGTTGAGCAATGTTCTGATTTAGGGCTACAGATATTAAAAGATGGCGGAAATGCAGTAGATGCAGCTGTCACGGCAACGCTATGTCTTGGCGTTATTAATCCGCAGAGCTCTGGTCTTGGAGGGTAAGATTCAGTTTTATTAAATTACACCAACCTTTCGCTTCGTTTGAGATTGAATTTTTTAGCTTAGCCAATCAGTAATAGTGTTCACAGCTCACTGTCGAAATTTGAGGCTTCAAATCCATGTGTGTCCAGAATTATCTGCGTTTGAAAGTTAAAAAGACGAGTCGTCTTTTCTTGAGACTCCGTGATATATAGAAAAGACATCTATAGAAATAGTGAGTAAAATTCCTAGTTTGAGATATTTTTAAAGGAATTATGTGATTTTTGTACATTTCTAGTAATTCTGAAGACTATTTACATATATTCAAGACTCAAATCAACCTCCCTAAAAGGGCACACTTGCAGCATATTTTCAAATCAGTTGTCCTGATAAGGATTTGATATCTGAAACACTGTTGACATGTACCCTATTTTAATTTCAGAGGAGGTTTCATGTTGGTCCATGATCATAAAGTGGACAAGTCATGGGTGTATGATTTTCGAGAGGTAGCACCTGCATTACTGACCGCTGATATGTTTGGTTCCGATGAAAACTTGTTCTATAACGTAAGTATTAACTTGGTCTACCTGTAATTTGAATTAGGGCTGTGTAAAAGAATCGAAATAATCTACTATCGTCACTAGGAATTTATAATTTCGATTATCGATTATCAAATTTCATAGTGAATTATATGTCAAAGTTACATTTTCTCCACTGTACCCGTTAACAAGTAGTAATCTCTTCTACATAGTTTCTCTTCAACACATAACATACCCACAATAAACTATAATAACTGATCAAAACAAGAATATACTTCTATAACACAAAAATAACCCATGAAATTAAGAATTTTGTCAAGTTTTTAATTTAGTATTTACAGGTTTTCTTAATTAAATTATTTTGATTATTAATTGATTATTGATCGTTAGTCTGCCCTAGACCTAATTCCTAGGAAAGATCCTACTGTCTGAGTAGGGTTGCCAAGAAGTTTAGAACCATCTGGTAGAAAGAATCCTCGTGGACCTAAGTTGAAAGTCTTTGATTTTATTTTGTAGAGTGGTCTATCAGTAGGGGTACCTGGTGAACTGAAAGGATTGTCTGCTGCTCATACAGCACATGGAAAGTAGGTATTTTCAGAGAGTTCACAATTAGTTTTGAGAGTCCACAGTTGGTTTTGGAATTTCACAATTAGTGTTGAGAGTCCACAATAGTTTTTGAGAGCCCACAATTAGTGTTGAGAGTCCACAATTAGTTTTGAGAGTCCACAAGTAGATTTTGTAGTCCAAACTTAATATTGAGAGTCCACATTAGTTTTGAGAGTCAACAATGGTTGTGGGAGTCATCAATTAGTTTTGGGAGTGCACAATTGATTTTGAGAGTCCACAATGAGTGTTGAGAGTCCACAATTAATTCTGAGAGTCCACAATTAGAAATTAATAGACTATTTAGAACTATTAGTAAAGAAATCAACTTGTGAGATAATTCTCTCATTGGACACAAATCTGTAGGTTTTTTAATTGTATTATGACATCATTTTAGGGTATTACGTTGTCATATTTGCTTGTTATCATTACAAAAATTCCAGTCTCTTTCAAATTTAATTTTAAATTTGAACTGTGGTAAAGTGGTAAGAATTTGGACACATGTTAACCCGGTCTCGTGCTATCTTCTCCAGATTAAAGTGGTACAACGTGGTAAAACCGGTGGCAGATTTAGCAAGGAATGGTTTTAATGTCACAAAAGCTCTAGGTAATTATAGCAAAAAGGATCTCCCAAAGGGTTATGAGTCAGTTTGAATTTAACCCTTGATACAGCAGCTCAACTTTTACTTTTTGTATATTTTTAATAGCTCCCAGTCAAAATATTTTCCTCATTGCACACTGCATGGTTTTCCCTGTCTCCATTGGCTCATCCTCAATTCTGGAGGCTGTGGTGGTTCAGTGAGTTAGACGCTTGCTCGCTAACCTGAAAGTCCGGGGTTCAATCCCAACATAGGTCGAGATAATACTTCTGGATTTTTCAACCCGTGTATCCCCGTCAGTGATGCAGGTAAGAGCGGCTGACATGGAAATAGGGTCTAGTCGTTCGGATGGGACAATAAACCGAGGCCCTGTGTGTACAGGCTGTGCACATTAAAGATCCCTCGACAGTTGGAAATGAAAGAAGAGCAGGCTAATGCCGCTGTCCTGACAAAATTACCCTCATTGCACCCTACATGGCATAGCCCGTCTTCATTAACCAACATGGTGTAGAAAAGTAGGACGTAAAACTCCCTTCATTTCATTTCTATTTTTAGCTCATACTTTGGATACCAGAGTTAAAGTAACAGATATGTCCCCCAAGATGAAAAGCATTTTCAGTTTAGATGGTCGAGCTGTTCAGGAAGGTGATTTTATAAATCGTGTAGACCTGGCTGATGTTTTGGATGAGATTGCTAATGATGCTGATGCCCTTTATTACGGCGCTCTTGCTGATGATTTTGTCAAAGCGGTAAGTATTGTAATAGAGGCTGACCATGCTTCCTCTTTTCGAAACACCTGATGGTACTTCTCTTTTGAGGAGTCCACTACTATACAACTTTTACTCACGATTTTGTCATTGCAAAGAGGTTTTCTAAATTTTTTATGTGTATCAGGGACACTGATAGCATCAATTTACACCATTCCAATTTTCAATCAGACGTCTGTGGTTCCTGCAATTCCATTAAAACTAAGTGTTTGATGACGTCACTAATCTCGAAGGGTCTTATATGATAAAGTATATTTTGTGATTAGTGACGTCATCAAACATTTAGTTTT